CTACATAGGGGTTATAATATTATCTCTACTTTTATGGATGTAAGGAGCATTGACTAGTATATATCACTATGTTTGCCCTAAGGGAGCTGGCATTTGAGGGTAATTTGTGTACATATGAACACTAATCTAATATTCATAAACTGTACTAATATATCTATAATTATCATAAAAGCAACTAACACACTGGAAAATTACTGGGTTCTATATACGTACTGTGCTATGAGCTTTATATGGACTCTCATTTGTATCTTGCCTAATAACCTTATTATACCCATTTCACAGCAAGAAAAACTGTGGCTTACAAAGATTAAGCAACTGGCCTAAGGTCTCATGACTAATAAGTAATGGAGCCAGGTTTCCAGTTTCGCTTCTTCCCTCACAGAGGAGGCACAGTCCTGGGGAAGATGAAAAATCCTTACTTGGCTGTTTGATCTAGGAAGATTGCTTTCTATCTTTCCAGATTAGTTCCCTTAATGATAAAGTGAAAAAGGATGGGCTCAATAATAAGGCTAAGGTTTATATTTTATCCTTTATTTTCTTAAAAACCTTCTCAGACATTTTAGGAAAAAGGTTTTTTCAGTGACCAGTACCTTCAACTGGTATCCTGGATATTCTAGGACCAAGTGTCCCCTCAGAGGATGTGATAAAAATTACCACCACACTAGGAACTGGTTGTCTATTGCTAAATGCAAGAGACAATTTTCATGCTTCATCTTGTTCCAGTTCTCAGCTGCTGCTGACACAGTTAACCAACCCTGTCTTGATCTGCTTCCTTCCTGACTTTCAGGTTGTTCCTTGATCTCAATTACCTTTGCCAACTCCTCCTCGACTACCTGGTCTTTAAACGTTGGGGTGCCTACGGGTTCAGTTTAGGCCCTTTTCTCTGTTCATTTGGTAGTTTGCTCAAGACAATCTCAACCCTCCAATAACTTCAAATATCATCTAATATTCCAATCATCTTTTAATCCAACCCAAATCTCTCTCTGGGTTTCAAAAGTGCTTAAAGCAAGCCTAGTACATTCCGAGTACCGTATTTGCCGGCGTATAAGACGACTGGGCGTATAAGACGACCCCCTAACATTTCCACTCAAAATACAGAGTTTGTTATATACTCGCCGTATAAGACTACCCCCTCTTCCGCACACCTTCCACACACCAAATAAAGGTAAAACAATATCAGATTTGATTTTAACATTTTAATTTATATTCAAATGCTTATGACATGCAGGAAAACTGTCACAAGGCTGTATGTAATCAAACATATACATAAAACAGTGCAAGTTTATTACCGGTAAACATACAGGTAATTCCAG